AAAAACGTTGCGTGCAAAAACCAACAATATGTAAACCTAGATAAGTAGAGACATACAGACATGCATTACAGATTCAGAAATAGAACTGCAAAAAGACACACGTAAAACTAGACACACAAACACACACACACACGCACACGCACGCACACGCACAGATACGTATTTACAATTGCAGATTATTTGTTCACGCTCAAATGATAAGAGAGACGAGAGTTAATTGAGCGTGTTAATGTAGCGCCGCAAAAACAACAACAATAAAAATGGTAGCGGTAGCGTCAGAAGTACTACTACTGGCCACAATAGAAGCAGTAGCAGTAGAAGTAGTAGCTTCAGAGTGAGTTTAAGTTTAAGTTTAGTACTAGCCAAAGTAAATTAACAAAAAATGTAGAAGTAGAAGTAGCAGCAGTAAAAGTAGCTGTAGTAACCGCAAGTGTAGTAGCAGTATTAGTAAAAACAATAATAGTAACAGTAGTAGCAGCAGCAGCAGCAGCAGCAGTAGTAGCAGCAGCAGCAGAAGCAGCAGCAGCAGTAGTAGTAGTAGTTGCAGTAGCAGTTGTAATAGTTTAGAATAGTTATGTAAGCTTTGTGTATGGCGCGTTAAGCAGAGTAATTACGAATGCCCAGTTCGTTTGTGATCTTATCGCGAATAAATCGTCAACTGATGACGCCCGAATATCAGATTACTTCTTTAACCAATGTCGGGAAATCGTCTCGATGAAATATGCTCCTTTATTCACTCATTCACTCATTCATTCATCATTCATTCATTCGTTCATACATTCATTCGTTCATACATTCATACGTTCGTTCGTTCGTTCGTTCGTTCATTCATTCATTCACCTACTCAAATAAACATACAAAAGCAGGAGACAGCAGCAATATTATACCGCATAGAAATGCAAACATCAACGGCAATCAAACAACAACACTAAAACATCTAAATAAAAACACCAACCACAAACAATGAGATACAACTTTAGCAGCAGCAACAACTACTACAACCACAAAAACATCAAATAAATTCATTTCGAGATCGTCCGTAACATGATAACTTGTTAGATGGAGATGATAAGCTGAATGGGTTTTGTTTATATACATATGTTTGTTTGTATGTTTGTTTGTATGTGTATTTGTATGTGTGTTTGTATTTGTGTGTGTGTTTGTGTGTTTGTGCAATTGACGTTGATTGTTGAATAAGCAAGCGGGCATATTCATTTGTTAATAAACACATAAATAAAAAATAAGTAGCTAGCACACATTCATTTATTCATTTTCTAATTCATTCATTCATTCATTCTTTTATTTATTCATTCATTTTTTTATTTTTTCATTCAGTCATTCATTCTTCTGTCAGTTCATCCATCATTTCATCGTTCAATCATTCAGTGCTAACAACATCAAAAAGCAAGTTTATTTTCGAATGTCATTTTAATTTAAACATTCCTACACACGCACGCACACACATGCGCACACACACACATTTTTACACACAAACACACACACACACACGCACGCACGCACACGCTCGTTTATTTATTTATATTTTTACTTTGCTTTTCCAATATGGTTATTATTGTTACATTGTTTGTATAATTGTTTTTGTTTATTATTGGCTATGTAACTTGAGATACAATTGTTATCTTAAGAGATCGGTGGAAAGACAAAAGTTGTATTGAATGTTGTATTGATTCTTTTTAAAATAAATATCTATACAAACACATACACATAAACACAGACGTACATACAAACACACAAGTACATACAAATACACACACGTCCGTACAAACACACACACGTACATACAAATACACACACATATATACATGCACACATAGGCATACATACATACATACATACGGTGATATTTGATTTTACACACATACATACAGGCACGCACGCACACACATATGTGTATACACTACACATATACATATGCATACACACACATGTGTATGTGTGTGTGTGTGTGTAATGTTTTGTTTGTGCTTATAATTAACAGGCTAATAATAACAGTTAACTTCTCATCGCTTGCCTTATTAAGGGTTGCTCCTTGTTATTACATGTAAGCACGAAGCCTTTAAATCTTCGAAATTGGTTTTTATTTTTAGTTCTTTGGAGTTGGCTGTTATATCTTTGTTGTCGTTTTGTTGTTTTTAATTGTTTTTTTAGCTGTGTAGATGGGGTTGATGTTTGTATTTTTGTTGTTGTTTAGTTTTAAATATTTTTCGTTTATTGTTTGTTTGTTGAGAAGTAATTAATAATTGATGTTTTGTTTATAAGTTGGGTGTTCTTTGCAAATTTAATAATTCATTCATTTCTTTGTTCGTGCGTTTATTCACTCGTTCGTTCGTTCGTTCATTCACCCATTTATCTATTTATTCATTCGTTTGTGTAAAGTTCATTCATCCACTTATCCATTTTTTCACCATTCATGTATTCAGTTTTACATTCCTTCATTTATTTGTTTATACATTCGTTCGTTCATTCACTCATTTGTTCGTAAATTCATGCAAATACATACAAATACACACACGTACATACTTATCACCTATCTATTCATTCATTTATTTACTCATTCATTCACTCATTCATTCCTTCACTGGTCAGCTTCCTGATTAGGGCTGGAACGACTTTTAAGATTTTTTAATTACAAGAGTGACAATTATGCTAGTGATGATGATGGTGGTGGTTATATTAATAATAATAATAACAATGATGATGATGACGGTGATGATGATGATGGAGATGGTTATGATAATGATGATGACAGTGGACGTACTAATGATAATTTTAGTGATGATGAAGGTAATGATAGTGATCTTAACGGCGACAACGATGATGTTGTTATTGATGATAACGATGATGATGATGATGATGGTGATGATGATGGTGATGACGTCACGTAACATGGAATGTAGCGCAGGTAATTTGTGGGCAGAAAAGGTGCTTGGCGCCTCTGCTTGCAAACATGTCCTCACAGTAATTAGATACACTTTCAAATTTTAACACGCACGCACACGCACACACACACACACTTTCTTAACCACACAAACACGCACATTCACATACACTTATTTGAAAGCAGACACATAAACACAAACACACACACTCATGTGCAGACGGATCAAAATAAATATACATAATTCCATTATGGAAGGGGTAATAAAACAGCAGAGTTTATAATGGATTGAAAGTTGGAATGAATAAATAGATGAAGGAGTGAATGATTGACTGATAATTAAGTACACGCACACACACACACGCACACAAAACCACACTCACACGCACACAAAACCACACACACGCACACATTGAATCTTAGGTTCCTCCAATTAAATGACACTCAACTTCGTGGCTCCCATTCAACAACGTTTCGATGGTTCTTTCTTGCAACGTAACCGTTTCTTTGCTTGACTGTCTTTGTGTTTGTATGTGTGTGTGCGTGTGTACGTGTGTTTGTTTCTGTGTGTTTAGTTTTTTTTCTGTCTGTATTTGTTTTTGTGTGATTGTTTTGGTTCGTTTAATGGTTAAAAATGTAGTAGTGAGCGTTTGAAAGAGAATGTTTCAAAAGCTGAAAATATATTGATTCATTTATTCAAACATATCAAAAATATCAAAAATTTGACAGCTTAATGTCTCAATTATCTGTTCATTTAATTAAATATTTATTTTTTCATTCATTCACTTTTTTCGTTTGTTCATTCATTTATTCATTCAACCTTCCATCCATCTATCCATCCATCCACCGAAAGGCCTAATGAATGTTTACAAGGATTAACTTTTGAGAAGAATTCTTTTGTTCAATTGTTTGCCGTTCATCCGTTCACCCATTCGTTCATTCTTTCTTTCTTTCATTCGTTTATTTTTTTACTAATTCATCCATCCATTCATTCGTTCGTTCATTTGCTCATTCGTTCTTTGTTTGTTCAATTGTTAATTAATAATTTGATTCATTCATTTAATCAATCATAATTCGTTCATTTTATTATTTATTCATTCTTCATTCATTCAATCAACTCTCCTTCCTTCCACTAATTGGTATTTTGGGGTGCAGATTTGAGAATGCCAGCCAGTTTCTACGGAATGTTAAATCGTCATCCGATTCGAAATTGATTTTTTTAAAGTAGTTTATTTTCGTTACGCCTTTCACTTTTTTTACTTACTTAATTGCTTTGCTGGGTGGTTGCTGAATGTCAATCATCTGTTTTTTTTCACTCACTCACTCACTCACTCGCTCGCTCACTCACTCATCGTCGTCATCATCCAATCCTGTTACAGACTCACTCATAATGACAGACTTTCCAACAAGCCAACATTACTTCCTCCATTCCATTGCTACAATTATCCATCCATCCATCAACGTATCATCATCAGCACGCCACATCCTCATTATTATCAGCTCTAATCGGTCATTTAACATGCTATTACCTCTACACACACACACACACACACGCACACACAATCATTCATCCATCCATCCATTAATTTTCTCATTTATTCACACTAACATGTTTATTCATTCATGCTAAAAAAGGAAAACAAAAACGAAATGATCTATAATGATAGTGATGATGTCCAAGATATCAACACACACACACACGCGCGCGCGCGCACACACACACACGCACACACACACAGAGTTATTTCTTGATTCTGATAGCAATCTCCTTACAATAGCAGGCAGAGGAATGTTTAACCTTTGAACCGACCTTGTAATTGCTACGGTCAACACTCGTGACCCTTCATAATGATGACGTTATGTCGATGAGATCTTTACTGAGATAGTGCATGAGGAAAATGATGGCAACAGCATTAACTTTTATTATCGTACGTATGCATTCATCAAGGGTGTCGGAAGAAATGGAAATTTTAAATTGAAACTAAACTCAAACTCCGTTGGTCAGCCCGTTTTGGTCTCGGCCAGGCTTCGGCCAAGTACCATTGAACCGTATGATGCTATCAGCACCGAAATGGACCATGAAAGTTGAAAAATTCAACAATAACAATTTTTTCAACATTTTTTGTAAATGTTGAAAAAATTGCCATTTGTGTTGAATTTAGTTCATTTTTTTCTGACTGGGTAAGAGACATCTTGATGCCCTCTGGTCAGTTGTTAAATAAATAAATAAAAGAATATTTCTCGGACATATACAGCGTACATGAAGTCCTTTCGTCATTGCATCAATGACATTCTCTATCCGAAATACTTTTTTGAAGTAACATAAAATGACATTTTTTTTCCAAACAAGCAAAAAGTAAATGAAAAAGCAACCAATGTCTCGTCAAGATAAATTACCAGCAATTTATATTCTTAAAAACTGATAACAATGAATTATTTCTTGTCGGCGAGTTGAAGAACTTTCTGGATCATCTTGCCGATTCCGTCGAAGACCTCGTGAAGGTAGGCTGTCCCCATGAAAGCCGGGGTGGTTACCAGCAAGTTCTTCCGGTCAACATACGCCTCGTGTTAGATATTTTTTCAAACAGGATAACGATGGTGACGATGACGACGATGATGGCGGTGACGATGATACATGGAAAGGGTTAAAGAAAATGTGAGATCAGCTCCTTTAAAAATAATAAATCTACGGAAACATGAAAATTTGTACATCTTCTTGGAGCAAAATCAACGCCGAACGACACGAACACACACGAATACATGGGCATTTTAATAAGCAGATAAACACGCACCTAACTTTCATACGCACACGCACGCACACACACTCAGCACAGACGCAAAACTACTAAAAAAGGATATAACAACAGAGCAGTCAACATGCTTGGAGCCAAGATCCCTTACAACAGCGCATGCCCCACTGTGAGGCCATTGGTCATCTTGTTTGTCGAACCCCAGAGTCACTTCGCAACCCTTGAGGACTTTTGCCGCCAGGATAGGAGCTATGCAGCATAATCTGCGTGGTGTGTAGTGGTGGTGTCATGGTGTGCAAGAAAAAATCTGTAGTTTGTGGGTAGGTAGGTCATGTGACGTCATGGTCATGTGACGTCATGGTCACATGTGACGTCATGGTAACATCACGTGATGAGTGAATGATCGTCCTGCTGTTAGTTAACTTTCGAATGAAATGATAAATGGACCTTGGTCAGTTGACTGATTGATTGATAAATGGATTGGATTGAAGTGCATACTTCAATTTCGGAGGTGAACGACCAGTTAATTAACATTAAAATTTTGAAATTAAGAATGTTTGAGTGTAAAAAAAACTGTTCAAGATTAGGAGATAAGTTGATTTTTGTGGCTTGGTTGTCTGGAGAATTCAACTTTGAAAAGTGAAGTTACTTGAACGAAAAAGAGAAAAAAACAAAAAGAGAAAAAAATGTTTAGCCAAATCTTAACATGAAAATCAACACAAAAATATTTTTTTGCCATAACCACCGGTTTGTAAGGGTAAACTACGTTTAAAAACTTGAAAAAAATTAAATAAAAAAAAAATTAATTTTCAACCCAATTGGTTTTTTGGATGAATGAAAATCTTTCAGCACTCTTTCGACCTCCTTATCGACCGTAAACTTTGGTCCATCAAATGCAAATGAAGACCTAATAAATTTTTGAAAAAAATTCAAGTAAAAAGGATTATAATTAACGACAAATTATATATATATTATTTCATATATTAAATTTAAAAAAATTTCAAATTAAAATTGTAATAACATGACAATAATTTAAAAAAACGAACAAATTTTTAGCAGCACCAAATCCACCAGGGAAGATGACGGCATCGAAGATTGAGGACCTCAGAGATGTGATTGGCTGAATCTGTCCCCGCGCTATTCTTGCTGATTCTTTCAGGACATTTCTTACAAAAAAGAGAATTTAAAAATAAATAATTCCATATTAACTTACATGATAGATACAAAGGAATTCAATCACGAGATTTGAACCATAGCATTAGAACTTGAAGTTGATCTGAAGAGCTTAGCATCATTATATATCCATCCAACCAAAATTTATGAATTTAAAAAATAAAATATAATATATATGATGATCCCAACCAATGCTGTTTGTCTTCTGGAATGAAACTTACAATGTGAAAAAAATGTTGGACCAAATCCAATTTTAAAATTTGTTAATTAATAATTGCTACAATTTGATAAATAAATAAATTTATTTAAATAAATTAATAAATAAGAAATAAATAAATAAATAAATTTATAAATAATATATATAAATAAATATGAATTTGGAATGAAGATTTGAGAGAGAATTTAAACAGAGCAAACCTCTTTTCCCCTTCCATAGGCATACCTTTAACATGATCAATGACGTGATACTGATCGATATCCGGGGCAAAGACTGCCACATCTGCCTTGCCTCTACTGAGATGAACCAGGCAGCTTAAAAGAATTTGTAATTTTAATTATTTTTTTTTGTAATTTAAAATTTTATTTATTTGATATTGTTAAATTAACATGAATGTGTAAATGTGTTGCTCAATCTATGAAAAGTAAACAGAATGATTTAATAAAAAGATTTAAACTTAAATTAAACATTAATCACTTTTCTATAATTAATAAAAAACCCCAGAACTGGTTGAATCCAAATTGTAACCAGTGAGATAACAAGCAAATTAAATGAAAACTTCATCAAATTACAAGTTGATGACAGTTTTGAAAAGTAAAATTATCTTATCTTACATACGCCGATGCTTCATGAATTTCGCTTCCATCGTTGCAGCCACATCCAGACAGAACCTGAATGGAGTGATGAATTAAAATTCAGGTAATATTAGACTTAAAACAAAACAAGAATAGCGCACAAATCTTCATCAACATCTGTGGCAACTACATCATAAAATATTTTTACCTGTGATTGTCATTTAATAGTTCATTGGAATGATCAAATGACATGTTTGAATGTGCTTTTAATTAAATTAAATTTATTAATTTAATTAAGTTTAAAATAAAAATGATTCTAAACTAACAACAGCAACTTTGGCATTCAGGATTGAGCTCGTAGATAAAAAGGATTTATTTAAAATTTTAACATTTTGGAAATATTTCCGGTAGAAAATTAATTTTAACGACATATTTGCGGCAAGTTATTGAGCAAAAAAATAGCAATCCCAGCTGACTTTGACCAAAATGTTATAAAAGTTAATTTGATTTCAAGAGACACTCTAGCGAAGTTTTATAAAATTCTATGGTCAGATATGATTATCTGGAAAATATTAAAGTTATTTATTTAATTAATCAATTAATATTATAATGAAATATGGTGTAGCTAGTAAATTATTTGGTTTAGGTGAAAGAAGGCATAGTATTATAAAAAAAAATTGGCGACTTATAACTTATAATAAGCACCATCGATGGACACTATCGAATTCCATGGTTACTTGAGAGATTGAAAAATTGATTGATCGAATATATCGAAAATAACAAGTTGGGAATAAGAAATTATTTATAAAAAAACATATTATTTCTATAACGAATTTGTAATAATAAATCAAAAATATTGGATACAAATTGTTATTAATATTAAAGTACGAGAAATAAATGTTCCACAAATGAATGTAAAAACTTCCAAAACTTTGCTGTTGCTTCATGTTAAAATCGTTAGAAGTTTCACTCGTTACTTTCAATTATTATCTATTAGTGAATTAGAATAAAGATTCTCAGTATAAAACTAATGAATTCCTTTTGTTTATTAAGAATTTAATTGAAAACATTATCCAAAGCGTTTACGCTTACAAACAGTTTGTATAGTTTAGTCGAATAATGACGACAACAGCAATAACAATGATAAAGATAAATCGATGATGAAAATGATGATGAAGATGATGGTAATGATGATGAAGATGATGGTAATGATCATGATGAATGAGATAATGATGATAATTGAAATGATGGTAATGCAATTAATCACGTAAATGAAAGAACATAGAACAGAGGTGGGCAAACTTTTTGCTGTGAGAGCCGCATAGAGAACTATTTTACCTTGAAGGGCCGCATATGTACTTAAATAGAAAAAATTTTTAGACTCGCGGGAGAACTTTTTTAAGGTCTGTGGCTCCTTTTTTGGTCATAATGTCTGGCTGACGATCATTTTTGCGAACAAGTTTACCCACCCCTGATGACATAGAGAATAAAAACATATCAAAAATGAATCAACTTGAAGGCTAATGATTGCTGTATAAGACAGAAAATGAATATAAAAAATTAAATTAAGTATTAAAAAATCATTTTATTTATAATATAAAAGTATATATAATTCAGGAAAAGTAAAATTTTACAATTTAAATGAAATAAAGCAATAAAATGTTCTAGAAAATGTGATTTAAGCGATATTTGAACGAATTTTATTAAATGATGTCAATAACTTCACAAAACTCACAAATAATAACTTGAATAGAATCAGTTCTTCCAATAAATTTTTGATTCATAGTTGTATAATAAAAAATGTTAACCAGCTGTTCTGAAGTGACTGGAGCTTTTGAAAAAATAAAACACCAACAAAAAATAATCGTTAAAAAATGTTTTCCTGAATTTTAAATATCATTACGACCTTAAAAACACTTGAATGCATTTCTAAAAAACAATTTGACACGTTCAAATAATTAAAAAATTCATGGCTTAATGGTTAAGACGCCTGGCACTGCTGTTGTAAGAGTCTGGATTCGAATGGAAAGCGATCCTTGTCAATCACAGGCAATGTATGTGTATGTAATGCGCCGATTCACGCATATTCAAATATACATTATATGTTGGTTGATATATTTATGAAATACTTTTGAGAAATTAAAAAAATTAATTTTGACTATATTTCAAATCCACAGACACCTAAAAGTCATCTTTTGACGGAATAAGACTGTTCGCCGTAGAACGGATGATTAGTGATGTACTTGTTATTTTTCAGGGATGTACCACTGAAGTGCATGTGCAGATTGTCGGTTTGAGGTGCCGGTTTCACGTAGACGGTTCCGACCTGATTGCTTGTCGGTAAGAATGCGATTATTATGCCATTATTATTTTACATTGTATTTTATTTCAAATGGAGTTTTTCAAATTAAAATTTACTATGGCCAAAAACATTTGATGGTGCTCTGAGTACGTGCTCAATAAAATTAACCACAGATTAAATTTTTAAAATTTAATAAATAGTTTCGTTAAATAAGGTATATACACCTATTTTTCTTGAAACAGCAGCAGAATGTGATGAGGATGATGAGCACAACGATGATGAGGATGGTGATGGTGATAAGAATCCACCATAAAAAGTGACTATCTGAGTAAAGTGATTAGGTTTAAAAATGAAAATATCATTTGAGTGAGTGAGTGAGAAAATGTCGAAATGATAAGGGAGTTTAATAAAATAATTAAATATGAATGATGAATGAATGATTGAAGGAATAAAAAAATGAATAAATTTACTGAATAATCCAGAAACAGTTGGATGGTGAAGCAGATTAAGTGTAGTCTTCGTTTTAATTGTAGTAAATGGGGCTAACGATTTTGTTGTTTGTATGTTAATTTCGGTGAATTTTGGTGATTTGAATGCTGTTGTTGATAGCCTGGTTTGGTGTCTTTTTGTTGTTGTGGTTGTTGCAGCTGTTGTTAAATGTTTGGTGAGGGTTTTTGTTGCCGTTGTATGTTTGATGGAAGTTTTTTTCGATACTATCAATCTTGTTGATTGGTTGGTTGTTGGTTTAGTTAGTGTTGATGTCTGTTTGGCTGCTGATTTAGTTGTATATTTAAGAGCTGACGTGTGAACTTTTATGGAGCCGGATGTTTGTTTAAGTGTTGTTAAGGTTAATGCGTGCTTGGTTGTGTATCGTTTTGTGGTTGTGGTGAGGTTTGAAATATACTTTGTTGTTGCTATTGTGGATTTTTTTGGCGTGTATTTATTGGTTATTAGATGGGTCGTGAGTTTAGCAGATGTGTGTCTTTTTGTTGTTGTAGCAGTTGGAGATTTGGAGGTTTTGAGTTTATTTGTACGTTTTGATGTTGTGTGTATTGTTGTTGTTGATGGTTTGAGTGTTTTTGTCACTGGTGTTGCTGGTTTGAAAGTTTGTTTGAATGTTGTTGTTTGTCTGAATGATGGAAGTGTAGTTGTTAAACGTTTTGTGGTAGCTTGTGTGCTTGTTTGTTTGCTTGTATGCGTGAGTTTTGTTGTTGTTGTTGCTGCTGCTGGTGGCTTGGACGCAAGTTTTGATGTAGTTACTGGTTCGGCGGTTCGTTTCATTGTTGCTGTCGTTGATCCGACTGTTGTTGTCCATCTCGTTTTCGTCGTTGTTGGTTTTCTTGATGACGATCTTCTCGTCTCTCTGACGGTTGTGTACGTAAGACCTCCTAAATTAAATCATTAATCTATGATTGAAATTTATTATTAGAGAAAAAATTATTGCATTCATGAAACCCTTCAAAATAACATCTTAAATGAAATTAAATTTCTGGAATATTTTTCAAAAAAGTAAAATAAAATAAAATTATGCTCGGTGAAGTTGTGTTGATTGTAGTGTTTTCAAGCTGTAACAAAGAATTGTTTGAAAACCTAGTTCGATTGCAAGTTGGTTAACGATAGTTATCATTTTATTGAGTATAATGTTAATTTTTACTGTATGAGTAATGCTAATTTTAAATGTACATATCTATCGTATAATATAGAACAAATGTGTTTGAAATAATAAATTAATTTTAGAGAAAATCGGTTAATCAGACCACCGATAATATAAACATCCAGAAGGAGTAGGAAAAAAGAAACCTCAACCACAACTTCAACTCATCAAAAGAGCAGTACAAATTCAGCAAAACAATACCCACCCTGGTCCGTTTAACCGATCACCACTTTTTGTTATTATTATAAACTATTGAAATATAACAAAATTTAGTGAAAAGATAGAGAGAAATAGGAGGTTGAATAAATACTCGTGAAGCAAACGACGATGTATGACGGACTGGCACACGATGATGTTTGCCCGATGCCCTGATCAGTTGCATACAGTGGGCAGTTGCTTTTCGCTTTTGGAATTCCTGGGATTACTTTTGTGTGGTGTGGTGGTTTGTTTGGTGAAATATTTTTAAAAACTTATTTTACATAATTTTATTGAAATTAAATAAATTTTTTTCCTATTTTGTAAACTCGTCACAAACTCGTTCTTGTAGTGGCCCAGATGTATCCATTTTGTTCTGTCCAGTCTGCATTCAATATGGAACGTCCAGCCAATAATTCGGCCTTGTGGAAAGCTCTGTAGTCAGTGTTTAAAAAAGAGTCAGACAGTTGCAGCAGCGAACTGCCCGGTTTCATCAGACTGCAGGCCTGCCTGGCTTCTTCCAGTTTGGAAGTCAGTCTGCTCGATCCATACGAGAAAAAGCATGCCGTGCGAAGGCAACGTTGAATGACTGGCTTGCTCCATTCCACATCGCTTGGTGGGTAGGTTGTGTTGTTGGGTGAGTCGGAAATTCGCGTCTCTTCATAACGCTGTGGAATTGAATCTGTTGGCCAAGTGACATTTCCTGATGTTGCTTTGTTGACGTTGATGGCGAAG